GAGGTGAGGGCGTCCCAAGGGCCGTTTTGCGGAGGAGGAAACAGAGGCCGGAGAGGAGAACTCGTGTTTGGTTTTGGGGGGAGCGGGGGGTCCCGTTCGCTGGACGGTGCCCTTCTGCACCCAAACACACACTCGCTCCCCACGGCCAGTCCTCCCCCGCTGGAAAGCAAGAAAAATGACGGCGCAAGCGAGGGGGGGCGGGGTAGGAGGGATGCGAACGGCGGGCTTTTTGCACCGCCAGCCCTCCCTGCAGAGATTTTTACAAAAGAGTAAACCGAGGCTTAGGAACTGGCCTGAACTGCTGTGGAGCCTCACTGAATTCACTTCAATGTGGGTCCCTGAACTCCGCCGGTCTCCAGAACCTGGGGTCCTTCACACAGTAGGCCCTGAAATGAAAAAGACAGTTAAGGAATCTAAGCCCCCAGAGAACCTACATTTTCGGGGGTGCGGCGAGGGAACACACTTATACCTAAACCTAGAAGAAGACATCTGCTTTGGGGGGAGCAGGGGCAAAGGGAATAAACGAACAAGTATATGAAAAGATTATTTCAGGAATGGGGGGAAAGGTGAAGGGCATTGGGGAGCAAACCATGAATGCACGGGAACTGATTGTGATGATGTCTAAAGACATGATCGCTCTTTTTAAAAGTGATTTCACTCTGGAAGTGTATGATGTGTGGCTATTGTATCAAGAAAACGAATAGAAAAAGAAAAACCAAACTTCCAAACTTGACCTAAAGTTACCAGGGGTGAAGGAGGAAGAGTTTTTGCCATGCAGGGTACTGAGTTTATGTTAATTGTGGTGGAGTAATTTGGAAAAGGATATCGGTAATGGTTGTACAACACAGTAGAATCATGACACCACACTAAACATGCAGAAGTTGTTGAATTGGAGACTGTTGTGTGTTTTTTTGCCGCAATTAAAAAATAATAATTACACCAATAGGAATGAGTACAGGGAAGATGCTCTAAAATTAATTGTAATGATTGTACAACTCTTCTCGATGTAATTGAACTATTGAATTGTACATGTGGATGACTTGCCAATAAAACTGTTTAAAAAAAAAGATTCTTCAGGTCAGAAAAAATAAGAAAACCATAGAAGGACAAAGAATTCTCCAAGACCAACTAAACTAACTAGAGGACAGAATCAAAATGCCCTTGTGGGTTTCTGAGGCTGTCAATCTTTGTGGGAGCAAAAAACCTCATCTTTCTCCCCCAGAGTGGCTGGTGGATCCCAACTGTTGATCTTGCCATTAGCAGACCAAGGCATAACCCAGCAGGGCTCTGGACAGTGAACTGGAGTGTGGCAAAGTTGAGGCGTTTCTTTAATGGCCTGAGCAGAAGAGAGGCCATTGAAAGAGACGCCACCTTCAGGTAATAGCCCTCACGTTCCAACCTCCCCTAAACTCCTTTGGCAGATGGGAAAAATCGTGGCCCTGAGGGCAGCAGGGGAGGGGGGGTGGACGGACAGATGGAGGTCATCATGTAAATTGCAAGTCCTTCGGCAGGGTGGGGCTACCTTAGATAGTGGTCAGGGAGGCCCTGGGCTCTCTGGAGGACAATTGAATGGAGACCTGAATAACAATGCAAGGGGCTGGCCCGACCTAGAGCTCCTTTCCTCTGGGCTTCTGAAATGCCCATTGCATTCCTTCTTGGGCTGGGGACACCTGGGGGCAAGACCGACAGCCTGGCCCTGACTTCAGGGGACCTTTCCGGGGGATTCGGAGAACAATCAACAAACACCCCCGATCTTATGCCGGCCTAGGAGCCCTGGTCGTTCAGGGGTTATACTTCTGGCTGCTAATCACAGGGTCTGCGGTGCAGGAGAAAATCGAGAGGCTTTCTACTCCTGTAAAGAGTTAGTCTGGGAAACCCACAGGGGCAGTTCTACCCACTTCTACAGATTGGCTATGGGTCAGCGTCAACTCCAGGGCCGTGAGTTTGCAGGAATAAAGGGAAGCCCTAGTGGCATCGTCATGATGATGGGGTGGGCTGCTAACCACCGGCAGGAGGGCGATGAGGCTTTTCTAATCCCAGTCAGAATTGCCCTCCCGAAAACCCACAGCGGCAGTTCTATGCTGTCCTATAGGGTCACTATGAGTCAGAATCAACTGAAAGCAGACCTCTAGGGCCTGACGGGGGGCTTCAGGGGACCCCCAGGGGAGGCCCATACGATAGGTACGACCGTTGGCTATTTGCAACTGCTAGTTGGGAATTCCGGGGTAGAGGCAAACCACTGCCCTTGAGTTAATACCGAGATGACTGACGATCGCATCTTTCTCTCTGGTGGGTTCGAAGCAACAAGCTTTTGGTTAACAGCCAAGTAAGTGGCTACCCACAGCCTCTCTTTTTAGAAGCAAAGACGATACATTCGGTGCAACTGTCCTCGGCTCCCACCTATCCTAAGCCCTCTCAACTCCCTGCCATCCAGTCGATGCTGACTCATAGCACCCGGAGGACAAGATGGAACAGCCCCGCGAGTTACCTAAGGAGACGGTCACGCTTTACTGGAGTAGAAAGCATCCTCCCCCGGTCCTAAGCCCCCAGACTCAGAAAAATAAAACTTGCAAGCTGTCCCCATTTCCTCCCTGACCTTGCACACTCACTGCGGTCCTTGTCTCCGTGCCTGAGGACACAAGCCAGGGTGGATTTGAGCTTCCACCCCCTTGCCCCAGCCCAACGCCTGCCTCGCCCGCCGCGCCCCCAGACCCCTTTTATTGTACACAGTGATGTCCGTTTGTCTTCAGTCGGTTTCCTTTACCGCTGTACCCCAGTGTTCAGTTCTAGGGATAAATCCGGGATGGATGGCTGTGAGTTTGGGGGAGGGGGCGGGGGCTGTTTGAAGTGCACTCGGCTTGTCACGGCCATGGGAAAGGCGGACGCTGCCGTTTTCTCGCGGGCGGCTGGGGTACGCCGCGCCGCCGTGCCTCAGTTTCCCCGGACCGGGAACGGGAGCCGGAGTCGCCGCTGCCATTGGCCGAGCACCCGCTTCCCAGGAGACTGGCTGCTCGCGGGGCC